AATTTTATATAAATTATTCGTCATTAATTTTCAAATTTAATGATTTTTCGTGTACTACTAAATATAAAATTATCATTTTCGATCAAGTGATAAATTTAAAAATTTATAATAATTATATGTAAAATTTACAAATATATTAAGTAAATCCTAAATATACGTACATGATTCATAATTTATAAATTTGACAGTAGTTTAAACATTTAAAATCTATAACACGTGACACTGGCCCTTGAAGCCTAGTGGCATAGCCACGGTGCATTCCCCTTCCCCCGGCAAGGTTCAAAACCTGCCCTTGCAAAATATGTTCAAAAAAAAAAAAAAAATTCTATAACACGTGTGTATGCATTGATCGTTTGCTTTTGAGCCTCTCCCCGATTCAAATTTTTTTACAAATAACATGACAACGATGTTAGCGCCGTACGAAGCATTTTTGAACACTTTGATTTAATTATATATAATTAATGGGATAGTTTGTACGTGAGAGGTTATGATACTAATAAACAAAAAAAAAAAAAGAAGGTGGTGAAAATCAAGATTTTTTTAGTATTTTAAAGAAAAATTATTAATATATACTTGACTTAACATACTTTTTAACACTTATTTGGGTCTAATTATTAAAATATAATATATTTACAATTAGTTCATATATTATGTATGCATAACTGCATTTTTAAGTTGATTTACTTTTAATTTCATATTAAAAAATAATAATTTTTATAATTATATTTTATAATATGTTGAATCAAAATATATACTATCAATCATTGTCATATTTTAAATATTAAAATTTCTATTAAAATTTTAAAATATTTTTAATAAATCTTTCTCACATATTGATTGATTAAGTATATTTAAATCTTTTATTATTATTCTTAACATTTTAATATATTTTAATATTCTTTTTATTATTCTTGACATTTTAATACCCCTCATATTTTTATTAATAAATTTTTAAATTGCCAAAAGAAGAAAGTTTTTAGACTTTTATGAAAGCAAATAAACGCCTCAACTTATTGATTTGAGCAATATAATCACCTTTTTTTATGAAAGACTTAATATCGGATTGTACTTTACTTGTAATAAGGTTAATACTTATTACATAAGCAATGATATGTCAATATTTTAAGTACATAAGTGATACACAAATGATTATTAATTCTTCCACAAAAAAAGGTTAAACTTTAAAATGTAAAAATAAAAATTTTAAATAAATTTAAAAGCTTAACAATAAAATTTTGGTTAGAACTAAAACCAAATTTTTTTTTTTTTTACAAAATCAATTATCTACTATTACATTTTATATTTAAAAAAGTGGGAAAAGGAGGGAGTTGAGTTGAACTTCAAATCTCACGAAATGCTCCCATTGAAAGAATAGGGTGAAACCACTGCACCTATGACGATTGAAAACAAACTAAAACCAAATTAAAACTAAAATTAATCAAATTCATTGGGATTGGGCGGTAAAGATTTAATACAAACGAAACTTAGAGTATATTTGGTGAAATTTATAAAAATTTTAAATTTTTTATACTATTTATATTTCATAAATTTAAATTTATAACTCATAAATAAAAAAAATTAAAATTTCTTATAAATTTCAACAACTCTTAATTTGGATGAGGAAGCCCGTGGATCGAGGGGAAGGCTGCCCAACAAACACAGCCTACGTTGACGGCGACTAGATTATTGTCTGCCCGTACTGCCCGATCTGCCCAATTAAAGACAAAAGTATCATAACCTCCCGTCGTTTTCCACTGCCCGGCCCCGCTCCAAATTCCATCACATAAAGTCGGGCAGCAGTCCCTCCGTGTCGGCTCTCGGACACTGTCTCGCGCGCCGGACGGCACGCGCGGTCAGGTACCCCACTTCTCTCCTGTACTTGTCCGAACAACAACAATAATTTTTGCAAGAAACAGAATCAAAAAAGAAAAAAAAAATCATACCAAAGCATTACTTAAATATATATATATATATATATATTGTTATATGTATTTTCCAAAGTGTGTACTAGAAGTTCATTCGAAGCAAAACATGGGTCATCTTTTTACATGTGCTTGGAGTCTTCCCTTTTGCATTCACATTTCGTTTTCCATGATGGCAGAAGAATGTCTTCGTGGGTCGTCGTGTATGCTGTACACAATTACTACTTACGTGAGAACTCATCTTTTTGGTCTTTTTCAGACTGGGGTTCCTGACAAAGAGCCACCCTTATTATAGGGACGTCTCCAAAAATCCCACTTTAAAAGAAGTATGTACACTAAACAAAGCTGAAGTTTCGTTTGGACCAAGTGGATAGACTTTGACGGGGAACGACTCAGAGCAGTGGAAGTTCTTTTGTTTGGTTTATTAAAAAAATGAAAAGACAGAAAACCAAATAAGAACGCAAAGGCCTGTGTTCAACATTTCATTTGGAATTTTACTCCGTACCAACACTTGTGTTCAACATTTCATTTTGAATTTTACATAGATACGGTAAACATGTAATTGGAACGCAAGACCTATGGTCAATGTAAGACCTGTCTCCTTGTATGTAATATTATATGGGTAGGTAAAACAGTGTTTAAACGCGTGGGGACACCTATTTCACCTTTCTACGAAATTTCACCATGAAGAACTTTCTATTTTGTTTAGAATGGGCCAAACTAGTAAGGGCGTGTTTATGGTGACAAAGAATTGTTAAGATAATATAAATTTATTAATTAATATTATATTTAAAAATATTTTTTTTTCAGTTTAATTATTAAAAATAGCAAAGGAGTTGATAGAATAGTTAAAATTTATTGCTTTAGCATATTAAAATCAATTTATATAAATAAAATTTTCAATATTATAAGTTTATAACTAATTATGTTTAAGGAGAAAAAAAACTATAAAAAGGTAAAATATTAGTTAAACCAAAACATAAACACTATAATTTGTGTAACACTAACAAATTTTGAATGGCTATGACTATATTCAGTTATTAATTAAGTTATCAAGTTGTTATCAGCTATCTCTCATAGTTGCATATGAAAAACGTATCTTTCTTTGAATTGTTTCTTTTGTTCTGTCCAAAATATAAGTAATAAAATAACCCTATGTTTAGAGTTAATTACAACAAATAAAAGTTCAACTCTTTAAATTATTTAGTGATAATTTCTTTTTTAAATAAAATAATCAAGATATTCTAAATTCAAATTATAAACATATAGGTGGTGAGGTGAGTAAAAAGAAAAAAGAAGAAATTATTACTTTGTATTGTATAACTCAAAATAAACAGTAAAGTTTGTACATGCAACTAGAGATTCTAACCAACACTATCCCATGATCTTGAGATTCTGGTCGAGATTTTGATTAGGTTTGAACTTTATGATGATGGAACAAAGAAATATATTGAGTTAAGGGAATGATTTATGTGATCCTATATACATTATTATCAGATGTATTATAAAAAAAATTCTAACAATAATCATTCCTAGTAAACACTTTAGTTTTGCTACTTTGAAGAGGTGTCACTAATTATTTATCATCATTTAGAACGTGGATGAGCTGATTTCAACTACCAAATCAATACCCCATGTTTCTATTACTGGATAGAAACATCAAATCAAGATTTAGGATTTTGTTATTTACTTAGGAATCACACGAATAGGAGCAATTTGTACATGGAGCAGAAGCGAAGACAATAATGTAATCATACAGCCATACAGGGGTTTTCTTGCGATTAATTATTATATGTTGGGAAGGACAAATTTGAAGCCAAAAGTCTGGGGGCATAGTGGCTTTATAGTTGGGAGGAGCAGGGACATCAGCTTTACACGTATTTTCACGTGATTAGCTATTCCTTAATTTTGGCAAAAATGATAAAAAAAAAAAGGTTACCATTCCTATTTAGGCTCGTAATCATGGTTTGGATTTTTTCTTTTTTCTTTTTTCTTTTTTACCAAAGAAAAAAGCTAAAAACCCTCATAAAAAATAATTTATTCATTTTTATTTAACTGTCCCACCAGTTATTTAATTATTGATATTCAAGTCATGACAATTATACATAATTCATTTATAGAAAAAAAATTACTGGTAACAAAATGACATTATTGATGGATTCTTGCCACTATATGTAAAAGAGTTATTTTAACCTATTCTCTTATAATTAGTTGTCTCAATTTATTTAATTATTAATATTCAAATCATGAAAATTATATATAATTTATCATGTAGAAAAAACAAAGTTAAAATACAGTTTAAAAATGTAAATATTATATTTTTTAATATTAATCTGTATTAAAATATAAAAATTATTATTAATTTCATTATCAACATCATTTTTAATCATTTTAAGTAGATTATTACTTAAAAGGAAATGATATATATATTATGTAAAGTTATACTTTATAAAGTTATACATTTTGTTACAAACTAACCGTTTCTGTTATTTGTGTTGTTAAAATTGATAATTTTTGTTACATGTGCCATTAAAATTGACGGTTTTTATTATTTATACTATTAAAACTAATGAGAGTGTGTAATTTTATAAAATATACATATCATTGTCTTTATTTAAAGGAAAAAATATATCAATTTTTATTTTTTAATATTAATTAATATCAAAAATATAATATTTACACTTTTAACTTGTATTTTTAATTATAAGGAACAAGTTTAAAAAATTCAATCTAAAATAGCATGGAAACGGAAGTCTATACTTTAAATTAAAAACTAAGACAATGGGAAAAAAAATAAAAAAAATTGTTTTTAATTATTCATCAAATGACGATATCGCGTCACATACGCATTCTTTTCATGGTGCTCTATCCCGTCAAATACGTCAATCTTACAACTGTTATTATTTCAATCATAAAGCCAATAATGGTGGCCCCTGTCTAATTTTGTATTTCCTTTGTGTGAAAAGTATGATAATTAAGGGTGATCTAGAGAAAATGGAGAAATGATCCCCTATTTAATCCAAAACCACTTGTTCCCTTGTACTATAAATTAATCATAAATTTAAATCTATTGATACAAAAAAAAATTCCAAAACCACTTGTTCTTGGGGGATAAATATGAAAAGTAGCTCCTTTTCTCTTTGATTTTATACTTATATGGATTATAACTTCCCCACATACCCTCTATATTCTTTTCCCCCCACCCAACAAAGCCATTCAATTTCAAGCAGCTACCAAAGGCAAGTCATGTTTTTCGACCTCTCTCTTTGTAAATATGTCTCTCATCACATGGATGATTAACCTTACGCAACAAAACCCACTTTAGCTTTTCCACTAACTCGAAAAAGACTCTCATCTCAACATTTTTCTTCGCTTTTCTTGTTTTTGGATTCTTGTAGATCTTCAAAGAAGAAGGAAAAGATGATTCAAGAATTACTTGGAGGTGCAGGACTGACAGTGGGAGAGAGAAAGATTCCCATCAACGGAAGCATTTTAGAAGGAACACCTACTACTACTACTGTTTCTCCTTCTCCATCAACGTCTTCTTCTTCAGCGTCTGCAACTGCTAATTCAACTACCTCGTTAAATTCAGGTACTTGCTAATCTTGAGGTTTATGTCAGAGCTAGCTTCAAACAATAATAAGCACTAACTAATTCTTTGGTTTAAAAAATAAAAATAGAGAACCAAAATTTGAGGTGTCCGAGATGCGATTCTTCCAACACCAAGTTCTGTTACTACAACAACTACAACCTGACGCAGCCTCGACACTTCTGCAAAACTTGTCGCCGGTACTGGACAAAAGGTGGTGCTCTACGGAATGTTCCTATTGGAGGTGGATGCCGGAAAAATAAGAACAGTACCAGTGTTTCGATGGGAAAATCCACTGCTGCTAATAAGATGAAGACGGTGGCGTCTGAGATTGGAGTAAGATCCGGGTTTGTTAACGGGTCGGACCACGACCCGCTTCTCTGGGCTTCTCCACAGAACTCCCATATTCTCGCCTTACTCAGAGCCACCGCCCAAAACCCTAACCCTAATCCGGTTAAGGAGGAGCTGGGTTTCATGGGATCCCACGGGATGAACGAGCCATTCATAACTGGCGCGCCAAATGCTCGAGCCCTGGGCTCGGCTCCTTTGGGCCAGCTTCCATCTATGGGTCTGTGCAGCTCTTTTTGGAAGAACAATCAGCAGAATGGAATCATGTTGGGTGAAGTTCAAAACACAGGGATTCAAGAACTGTATCAGAGGCTCAAATCATCATCAACAAATTACTACACCGATAACTCGGCAGTAATATTTCCAGGCAATGTAGCTTCGTCTTCGTCTTTCTCTTCATCTATTTTGGAATCGGCTCCGGTGGCTGCAGGAGGTGAGTTGGGTTACTGGAATCCGGTGTTTTCATCATGGTCTGATCTTCCGACAAACAATGGTGCATATCCTTGAACTTAACTTCATACATATGCTAATGTTTCGTTCCTTCCTGTAGTTGCCTGGGTTGTGGTATAAAAATATGAAGTGTAGCTAGTTCAGCATGAATTTTGATATTTCTCCCCCAAATTTTCCATTTTATGTGTGATTTCTGGTGTGTTTTGAACTTAATTGTGAGCTTGTACTAAGAGAACTACCTAGTAAAAGAATGAAAAATCTTAGGTGTTTCTTGATTTTACAATCCTGGATGAATTGAAATCCATTTTGAGGATGTTCTTAATTAATTAACCATGGTGATTACATTAAGTTTTTTTTTTTTTTTTTGAATTGTCATAAATTTGAAGAGGGGGATAATAAAAATAAATAAATAAATAAATAATTTGAGGAGAGGAAAATTGAACTCGAGACTAATATAAAAAAAGATATATCTTTCAATCATTTAAATTAAAAAGTCAAGTGTGACTAATTAAATTAAATTAATTATAATCTATGAAAAATTAAATTAATCATATATAAGGCTCTCGTGGCATGTTTTAGTCTTTTCCTATTGTTTATATATATGGAACATCAAATAACTTGTCTTTTAGGAATTAGGGTTTCCTTTTTTATTATATTATTGAGATAAGAGGTGAAGAGAGGTGGGTTGCATATGACATATTGATGAATTAATATTGTGTGTCATTGTTTGATATGAGAAAGAGAAAGTGATGAATGAATTCTCAAAAGCAGCCTTTGGTAAAAGTTTTGGTAAACAGCCAAAGTGAATCTTGCAGTTAAAAGAAGGATTCCAATGGTCCACTTGCAGCCTTATGTTGAATTGGTTTCTGCTCCTGTCGGCTTCTCTGGAAACCGGGTCGGCAGTATAGAATTTGGTAAAATTTTTTCAATGCCCAAGTTTATCAATAAAGTGAAAGCTTCACTTCAAACTTCAAACTTCAAACTTCAAAGCCTGCTACAATTTGTAGCCTTAATTTCTACTAATTCTTTCTAGCTAGAAGTTGAGATTTCAACTTCTAAAAAACAAGAAGCATTTAAATATTTGACTTGGCTTTTATTTTTTGGTGGTGGGTTATTGTCACACTTTGTTAAAGTCACCCTAAACAGTTGCATTTTTTTTTTACTTTTATATCATTTTTTTTACTTTTATATCATTTTTTTATTTTTATATAATTATCTTCCGTTTTTATTGACAATCTTATTTTACCATAAAATTTCGTAATTCTTTGTCGGTGATATACAGTTATTAGTTCTTTAACATAGCATATAAATAAATATGTATTGTTATTATTTCACTTCAATTAATATATATGATACAAAAATTGATAAATATATCCTTTAATTTAATATACTAATTAACATCTGCCGTTCAGTTATTGAAATTTATAATTTTAAGTTTCTTCGCTTTTAATTCAAATTCAAAAATAATAATTTCTTAATAAATATATTATAAAATATATTAAGTCAAAAAATATATCAATCAATGTTAAAAATAAACTTATATGCATCAACTTCCTTAAGCTAAAGACACTTTCATCCAACAACAATAATGATATTAATATAATGATATGTTTGTCCAATTTTTATAAGACACGTATCCTGGTGATAATGATAGGCTGGCCTGGGACTCTTGTTAGGCAGGCAGATGAATAACTGTATTATATTTTGCGCAACTTACGCTACATTAATCCAGTCGCCATGATTATATACAATCATTCACCTATTATGATTAGATTAGGTCTTGTAGATGATTAGAAAGTATGGTGGTAATTAGTGGTAAACTGTTCTTCTAAAAACTTCTTTTGGACAATACTTTTCTAAAAACTTGAAATCTTGTTTTTGAAGGCAGCTGGTCCACTGATCAAATAGGGTTATGCAGTAGCTCAATGACTTAATTATAGCTTAATATATTGGTTAGTGAAGGAGTTTGCTCTTCACCCAATTGATCTATTTTTACTCTGATATTATTTGAACCATGGAGCTAGCCCTCCTATTGTATAAAAAAATTCACAAAAATGCAGCAAGAACACTGGAATAATTGCATATAAACTTTATTACCATTTCAAATTGGAAACTAATGAAGCACAGAGCAGGATTCTAAATTTTTTGCCTTGCTCTCTTTGTCATCCCCATTTTCTTGCCTAATACAATCACACCCTCGTAACTGACCAAACTTAAGATGAAAAAATAATAATAATAAGAAATTAAACAAATTACACCAACAACAATACTTCTATACGAGTTTTTTAGCCTTGCCACAGAACAGTGCATTATCTGGGATGTCTGCCTCAGTATAGAGACTCTTTTCGTTGTTCCAAACTCTGACATACACTTGCTGTCCTAAGTACGTCCTCGAGCAGTCTTGTGACCTCAAATTCCACATCCCCTTGTTGTCTAAAGACACTAATATTGCACTCCAACAACCTGGATACACCTGAACGGTGTGTCTCGAGATTCCATCCACCATGTTGTAGCGTTTCCTCATGTTTTCTGTCCATGGACTTTTACCAAATCTGAAATTGAAACAACAGACTCAGTTTCAGACTCTGTAATAACTAAACATTGACTTAAAAAAGTATGCCAGCGTGTGTTTATATAGGCATACCCAGCAACGAAGAAGCTGGTTCCATCAAAATGCCAGGATTGGACTGTGGTATCATTGTTTTGGAAGATAATTTCAACGAAGTCATGAAGGGCTGTGTCAAAAACAGAGGTGCCGAGTTTTGCAGGAGCCTTAGTGGGTCTGTCCTGTATGGTCTTGAAGTCGAAGACCCCAGGGATGTTGTACCAGTCAGCGAGCTTTAATGGGGTGTCTGGATCGACATAGGAGATGCTGTTAACAGTATACCGTAGCTTCACATTTATCTTAGCAGCTCTATTTTCCAGAACAAGTGTCCTTACAATCGGTATTGTGCCGTAGTGGAATGAGCCTTGAGGATTAGGCCTTGCTGCGTTTGCTGTTAAATTCAATCTTCCCACATCGAAAAGAAAGTTAGAAATGGAAATTTCAATCTCTGAACATACAAAAAAACATAGTATTTTCCTTGTGTTTACCTAATTGTCCTAGCCTGCTTCATGGACCAGTGAACTTGATAAGTCGGGCCAATAGGTAGTGGAAGGGAGGCTGGAGTATTGGAGCCATAGTAGTGAAGAATTGCGGTGGTGGTGAGGAAAGGCTTTGTAAAACGAGTGGAAGCCACAATGTAAAAGTCTTTGAGTTGTGGAGAATGTAAGGTGACCAAGACAGCTACAGATTGACCCACATGGATATCCAGGGACTCGTACACATCCTGCATAGTGTGAGCTCCTTCTACTTCGATCAGGATCATTGTATGTCCCTGGATCCTGAAGTTGATTGATGTAGTTATACCCACGTTTGAGATCCTGAATTTGTATGTTTTGCCTGAAATTAAAGACATTTCAAAGAAATTTATCAGTGAACAGAACATGTTTGAGGAAATGACTCAATTGAAGGGCTTTGATTTGGAAGATTATATACCTCTTTCACCTGTGAAGACAGCCTTTCCATGTTCCCCATTTATGAGTACACCATCTGGAGAAGGAAGAGCTACTCCTGAATCCAGCCTTTGCTCTAATGCCTGTATTCATGGAAGAATTAGAATACTCTTCTAAGGGAATTCATAACCATGAGAGTTTTATTTGGAGTGAATTACCTTGTGGCCTGATTTGTACCAATCACCAACAAGCAGGGTGAATTCACCATCAGGTTGAGGATATGGGATCGTTATCACAGACCTCTGGTTAATATTGAGAGCCCCAAAACCACCAGCAGCTCTTTGCAATGCAGTTGAAAGAAAGTAGATGTAGGTTCCAATCTGGTCTTTCAACTGAAAATGGTATGTCCAGTTTGTGTTGGGAGGAATGGGACAATTGGTTCCCAGCACTCCATCTTGCCATGACATCCTTCTCATTTTAATTCCATTCCTAGCAGTTTCAAAGACATAAAAACTTCAGCTTTAAATGTAATGCACCATGGAATCGAACAAATTTCGAGGCAATTAAAAGGATATCTCTAACCATGTAAGGAGCAAAGGTGCATCCAAGTGGTTGTAGACATTGACAACAATGTTATCGTTAGTGGTGCCATTAATAGTCGGTCCTGGAAATTGCTTATTGATCATGATGACCTATGCAAATACCAGCAATGAAATGAGGAAACTATGCTGGGAAATTAAATAGAATACCTCAATGGAAGTAAAAACTAAGAACCAACCTGTTGTTTAACACCAAGAGGAGCAGCCTCTCCATATTCAACTACCCAGTTAAAGAATACATAAGCATCTTCTGCATTGGTCAGGCAGAAGATACCAAACCAAGCCAATGTTCCAAGTAAAAATTGAAAGAAAATGGCCTGAGGCCTCATTTTCTCAGATGAAGAAGAAGAAAAGGTAAGGTTGTTGTGAAGAGTGTGTAACTAGTGTTGTCATATCATTATATAGGAGATACCCATGAAGATGCCAGCAAACACAGGAAGTTCTTATGCAGCGCACTTCATGGTATATTACATAATTCTTCATAATTAATCCAAACTCTTAAAAGATCTTTGAGAGAAAAAAAAAAAAATTTAATACCCAACTTGGAAAATTAAGCTTGATTTCATTGAAATCAACAAACCGATCAATAATATAATTTTTAAACATTTTTAGATTTTTATTTTGAACTTGAAGAAATTTAGATTTGGATCCATGGGTGATAGTAGTGGTGTTGGTGGCAGGAGAGGATGAAAGAAGTATCTAAAGAGCGAGAATGGCTGCGAAGAGGTCGGATCATCATTAAATGCTAAATTAATTGAAGAGAAAATGAGTTTTTATGGTTTCTGAGATTTTTAGTTTATCTCTGCTCACATGTAGAAGACGCAGAAGCCGAAGACAAAGGGAGAGTAGCGTGGATCAGGTTCTTCAATTCTACGTTTCTTTTCTACTGCAAATTCTACTGTTGCAGTATGCATATATGCAATATGCTCTGTTTTCCTCTGCTTTTCAGTTACAATGTAGATTAAAAATTTTCCCGCCATGTTTACGGTGTCTTGGCTGTTATGGTAGTTATGAGCGTTATCTGGGTCGGTTTTTTTTTTTTTAATTTTGCCAGCCAAACTCGGGTTAAGAAGAAGCGTTGGAATTCGCGAAATTTCTGGATCCAACGAGAAACGGCCCGACTCCAAGTGTGGGTTCGAAGAGGTGAATTCACATTTAACAACGTATCTACATTGGCATTCATTACCTGTTAATTCTAGATTAAGAGGTAATGTTGTATTGTAGTTGTTTTTTAATAAATAATGAGACTCGCACGGAAAATTTAGTATCAATGAGGTAGTTTATGTTATATTATTAAATTAGTGAATGTTGTGTTATTAAATAATATAAGATTTTATTTTTCATATTTTAAATAATATGATTTATACTATATTATTAATCTAGATTTTAATCTTAAATTTTAATTTTATTTATCATTACTTTTTTAATACTTAAAATCCTAATATAAAGGTTAATTATATAAGCAATTTAATAATAATATTTTTAATTAATTTTTAAAAATTAAAATTTTTAACTTTAAAAATTAAATTTATTAAAAAATAAATATTATTTTATAAATTATATCCAAGATTTAAACTTTAAAATTAATATTAAAATAAATTAATTTAGATACGTAAAAGTTAATATAAGGATATCTTGACCAGAAACAAAAAAAAGAACTGAAGTAAATTCTTGTGTGAACGCGTACCTTATCTGCTTCCTACTGATGTTAAATTCCACCGCTCCAATATCCAAATTCCACGAAAGAATACCAATAAAATTGGGTTTGACATTACTTCTTACGCATCTGAGTGGGTTGGGATTGCAGAAGTACGAAATAGGGAATGATTAGATTTTCGAAACTGAAGTTGGAACTTTTTAAAGTCAACTAAAAGGGTAGTCAATTTGAGAGACAAGTTACCAATTGAAGTAAACATGAAAATGGATCCCTAGGACAGATCTTGCGAGAAACGAGAATACACATGGTACAGGCAGCAACATCTTCAGACCTAGCTACTTAATTCGGAGTCATGTGATATTAAATATCCCAACATGTGCTCTTGTCTTGAGTGAAGCTGAATCTCAAGCAAAACCTATGGCTTTTGTGTGTGTTTCAACATTCCCCCAGCTGAGCAATAGTGGCCTAGCAATATCGACTAGAAAACAACTCTACCAGTTGGACAATATGTGCAACATTTCTTAGCACACAAGAAAATTTAAATTCTTGGAACAGAAAATCATGTGCATCTTTTGATATTAAATTACCAAGCCTCCCCGTTCAATGGACTTTGGCTCACGAAGTTGGGAATCAGACATTTGTGGGTGCAATTTACCAAAAACAAAAAGAAAGTAGGTGCAGAGCGTGGACTTTGGATTCATGAGTCTGTTCAACTCAACTGTACTTTTTGTAAAAATGTTGTCTGAAAGAAATTTTGTATAAGTGTTGCATTATGCATTCATAGAAAACATTTTGCATTCATACAAAAAAACTGTCTAAAAATTATAACTTTTATAGAAACTAAAAAATGTCTTTAAAAAAAACTAAAATTGTATCTATCCTAACTTCAAATTTTTTAAAAACTAAACTAAACAAATAAGTACTAAGATAAGATTTATATATATAGACAAAATAGACAAAATAAAATGTATTATTAAGGAGAGTAGAAGCAATACTCCAACACTTATATGATGCAATTACATTGTAAAGGGAGTACAAGCAATATTCCAAGATAAGACATTAGTAAGAGTTACTTCCAATCATTTGTTTTGGTCAATTGCAGATAACCTGATCTAATCCTAAACCAGCTCACCAATTTAGCCCCAGGTCCATGTGGTGCTGGTTGAGTGTCCACCCTCTACTCTACCCACCAGACAGGGTTCAATTACCACTTGGTCCCCTTCCCCCTTCCCCAATAACCCAAGTTAAAGAAGAAGAAGAAGAAGAAAGAAAAGTGACAAATTGGTTGGATTGAGGGTTATTAAGAATCAGTAATAATCCATAAACTTTCTCAGAAAATCAACAAGAATCAGTAATAATCCATCAACTTATTCAGGAAATTAACAAGAATCAGTAATAATCCATTAACTTTCTTAGAAAATCAATTCAATCAATTGAAACTAACATAAGAGTACAATATAATGGAATCTTAATCTATTGTTTCTAAGATATACAAATAAAGCCAGCACGTAAATGTGCTCTTTTGTTTCTCTTACACATTTTCTCCCGTAGTCAAACCCTCATGACTGAGATGGACTTAGTATGGATATGGTAAATGATCAAACTAAGGGTGTTGTCCTACAGCTTTGCCACAGAGTAGAACATTGGAAGGAATGTCATATTCATTAGCCTGACTCTTAACTGAGGTCCAGACTCTGAGGTATAATTGTTGTCCAAGATACTCCCTCTCCCATATTGCAGATCTCAGGTTCCACATACCTTGGTTGTCCATGGAAATATATATGGCAGTCCAAGAATTTGGATATACCTGCAAGAAAATGCATTCACAGCAGGAAAATGTATTAGAACACAATGAAGTAAAAGCGGCCATCAATGTCTTCAGAATATTTCTTCACAACAGGCATGCAAAGGAACATCAAATTATTCTGGGCGACAATTTAAGTTACCTGAACGGTGTGTCTAGTAGGAGCATCAACTAGATTGTAGGTACTTCTCTTAGCTTCAGTCCACTGTCCAGAGCCATAACTGTATACAATGTGAAGGGAAAGATGAGAAGCTATCCAATCAGCAAGAAACAAAATCAATAGGGCAGGGCATAGTGACTTACCCAAGAACCCAAAAATCATAACCATCAAGATGCCAAGATTGCAAGGTTTTCTCATTGTTCTGAAAAACTATTTCAGTGAAATCATGTAGAGAACATGGGATGACAGAGGTTCCAAGGGTTGCGGTAGTGGCACCAGAAGGAACAGTTTGGATGGTATTGAAGCTGAAAACTCCAGGGATATTAAAATTATCAGCAAGCTTCAGAGGAGTATCAGGATTGACATAGGAGACACCATTGACTGCGTAGCGCTGTTTTCCATTTATGAAAGGTGCTGAGTTTGCCAAGACAATTCTCTTTGTAGGTGTGATCAACCCATAATGGAATGATCCCTGTGGATTAGGCCTGGCTGCATTTGCTGTCAAATTCCACCTTCAAGCAAGAGAAGAGAAAAAATTAATAAAGACCAACCCTAATCCAAATCAAAATATTAGGTACCTTCTAAGGTTTAATCTGTAAGACAAAAATTAAAATTAAGTCATCAAAAGGGTCACATCTATGCTCTGGGGGATGGAAGAAAAGTGGGGATCTGAAGTTTCAATAGACAAATGCCTCTATGATTGAACAACAAAATAACCAATGAGCCTCAAAAGTTATTTCTTCAACAAAGTCTAGGAAACTAGAAAGCATAACCAATAGTTTTCTGGCCTTTGGGTGACTTCACTAGTCTTAAATTCTTCAAGCTTGTATACAGAGGTTCAGGGTCCATTAGCGTAAAAGGTCACATATTATTATTCAGTTAAAGCATACCTGTATGTTCTAGCTTGCTGCATTGACCAGTGGAATCCACCTGCAGGAGTAGCAGGCAGAGGTCCTGAAGCTTGGGTGTGTGAGTTTGTGTAGTGCAAGACTGCAGTTGCAGTAAGAACATTACGGGTAAATCTTGTGGATGCCACAATGTAATAGTCTTTTGGCGCCTGATTGAAGGTTACTAAGACAGCCACAGATTGTCCAACATGTACATCAAGAGAGCTATATTCATTCTGGATTACATGAGATCCTTCAACCTCAACTAGCTTCATTGTGTGGCCCTGAATCCTGAAGTTTAATGAGGTTGACAAGCCCACATTTGAGAACCTGAACATGTAAGTTTTTCCTGAAAACAACAGAAAGGAAATGTGGGTTGTAAATTCCCATGACAATGTGGTTGATAAACACCTGAGAAAACTCAAAACAGAAAGTGTTGATAGGAAATGAAACCATAATCAGTTAAGTGATAAGGAATTAAGACCTTGATCTCCACTAAAGGTAGCTGTAGTCTGGCCATTTATAAGGACTCCATCGGGGAATGGAAGAGTTTTTCCTGAGTCCAAACTTTGCTGTAATGCCTGAAAGCAAGAAGCATGGTGTAAGATATATAGTTGGTTGGCAAGTTTTCATCTAATATTTGAATACATTTTAGTTCTCAGGTAGAGCAGAAACCACCTGGACAATGCACATGTAAATAGAGACACTGAATTACTGTAAAGTGATGAGGTTAATTGACAAGCAGTTCTAAAACATGCATTAATGCTCTATATCTACGGCAGAGTAAAGATTAATTCCATAATCAACTCAAAGCTTTATCATAGCCCTGGACAGGATGATAAATTTGTTAAAGATGTTATCTACTGTGTTATAAACTTATAATAGTGTCTATTTGCAACTTAGAAACAATGTTCGAGGAAGGGGAAGAAACGAAAAGAGGAAGAACATATTCTAGTTCTAGGCAAAGAAACAAAAGAAAGTGGCAATGTTTAGTGAGCAGAAAGAAACCAGTAAAACTAACCTTATGGCCGGCCTTGAACCAATCACCAAAAAGTAAACTGAAATCCCCAGCAGGGGCTGGATAGGGAATTGGGATAACAGATCTATGGTAGATATTGAGTACTCCATATCCTCCAGCAGCTTTATGCATAAGAGTTGATGGGAAATATGTGAAGGTTCCAATCTGATCTTTGGCTTGAAATTTGTAGGTGTAGTTTGAGTTTGGTGGAATTGGACAGTTGGTTCCCAATACACCATCCTGCCATGAGTTCTTCCTTTGTTTAATTCCATTCCTGTTGTGAAATAAGCAAGACCTTATTATGGCAATGTCATGATTCCATATACCACAATCAAGTTAACAGAGAAAAGCAAAACCAAATGAGGGTTCCAAATTATGCAAATACCACTCCTTTATACATGTTCACTGCATAGGAAGGATACATTAACCCAAAGTCGTTTCTAGATCCAACTCTCTAGCTCAAAAAGATCAGTGGGCAGAGTAGAAGTAAAACATAAAGAATGAGATTCAGATTTTCTAGAACTTTGTATTTCTCATTGATTGAATAACGAGAAACAGAATACCTCCAACTAACTGATACCAAAATTACCAATGAGCTCGATTTAGGCATAGTTTCACAGTAAAAATTGAAGATCTTTACTTCTATACCACTCTGAATTCTTGAATAAACGAAACCCAAGAGCAAAAATTTCAATCCAAGAAAAAGCAAAATCCAATTAGAGTAAATGGGAAGAGAAAGAAACCCACCATGTCAATAAGAAAGGCTCATCAAGCTTGTTGATGAGGTTGAGGATGATATTGTTGTTAGTAACGACATCAAGCCTTGGTCCCGGGAATTGACCGTTGATAAGGATAACCTGCCAAACCCAAAACCAAAACTTCAGAAACCATAAACTTCAATCCAATATTATACTCAAACTCTTCCAAAACCATGCCCATTACCCACCTTTTGAGGAACTCCTAGAGGAGAAATGGTACCATAAGTCACAGTCCAGGTGTAGTAGAGATATGGGTCTTCTGCATTCACCAGGGACAAACTCAAAACAGCCAAAACCCCGCAGATCAAACCGAGAGCGACTGCTCTTCCCATTGCAGCTGCACAATGCCACTGAAAACAACCACAAAGATTTTGTTGACAAATGGGTGTAACAAGATATCATCAAATCAACATTTTGTCTTCCTTCCTTGATAAACAAAGTATTGAACTTACCTTATTTGATGCTCTAGAGATATGGAACTTTCGAATAAGAAACCAAGAAGTACCGGTGAGCTTTTTATAAGATGTAGAGGAAGAGAAAAAGCTACACCAGGCATAGATGAAGTAAGCATTTTGGGGTTCAAAGTAATTAAATTTTTTATGAAACTGTAGTGTTTGTTGTCAAGGTTTTATTTTTTAAAGATTCTGCTCAATCCACGCGTTTTCCAGTTGGCATAATTGATTGCTTCCAAACAAAGCCTCCAATCTCGCCGCGGATTAGAGATAATTTTCCTTTCTTAAAAATATTTTACATGTTGGATTATATTATTAAAATCTAATTTAAAATATAATTTTATTAAAATATTTGTAATAAAATTGTTTTATATGTTAGTTTATTAAAAATATTTAAATAATTTTATAAATTAAATTATATTTTTAATATGTAATTTATCCCGTAAAACATTAATTCCTTTTCTTTCTTAAAGAAAAGAGAAAAACTTTTCTTTTGAGAAATGAGGATGGGTTGGTGAGGAAAGTAAAGTGGTAGATGTAGTGAATTGGCACAAGTGGGGAACTGCTGGAATTGGTGAGGAGTTTTTGACAGCTGTATTTTTTTCTTTTTTTTGTACATTGGAAAATTGGGGGATGAAAGTATATTTTGAAGGCGTTGGTAGGGGTGGGCAAAAATTGGCTTTGGTTGAAATTGAAATCAATTTTAAATTAACTAAAAAAATTTTTCTTCAATTTTGATTCTCAAAATTGAACCAAATTTTTTATCAACCAATCAGTTTGGTTACCATTAAAATAAGTTATTTTATATTTGGTTTTGATTTTTACTAATAAACATTAATCAATTTTTTTAATAGTAAATTATATTTTATGTCATATTTTATCATATTTTGTCATATTTATCCAAATTTTGATTTTTAAGAGACTTATTTCGATTTTGGTTAGTGAAAGATTCAATCAAAATCAAATCAAAATTTATTCGGTTAATATCAAACCAAAACAATAAAACTTAAAAACAATTAAAACCAAATTTTATTTTTTCAGTTTAATTTCTGAGTAACTCTTCAGTTATCCACCCGAATACCTACCTTTAGGTGTTAGTGGAAATCAAACTTTCAACCAACTAAATCCAAGCATTTAGGGTTTAGAGACGAACCATTGAATCCGAAAATCTAATTATTTGACAGTTATATTTTGAATAAAGAAAAAAATATATAGATATATAGTGTTAGTAGGGACCTGCAGAAGAAATGGAATTAAAAAACAGTTCACATGCATGCCCATGAAATAATTAACAACCAAAGTTCATTCTGCCATTGATTTTAAATTTTGAATTAAAGTTTCATTTTCAACGAACCTGCATCTTCTAGGAAATGGGTACTTGAAAAAACAATGGAAAATGTTATCTGGGCACAGTAGAATGGGGGAGGGGGTGAAAAGGAACTGAAATCTAGTATTGCTTTCGGTTGCATCGATCTAATATAATGGCATTAGTCTAAAGGATTAATTGACCGCCACCATAAACCTCAAAAAAAAAAAAAAAATGCATTGTACAATCTCAACTGCATTAAAGTCGTTATTTGTTAGGAAGAATATCAATGACTGCCTTTTTTTTACATGACTGTAGAAAATAGTATTTTTTAATAAAAAATGGTACAAGTAACGCACAATGACATACATGTTTTATAAACTAAACAAGTACCAATAAATTATTAATTTGAGTGAAATAGATTTAATTTTTTTAAAATAAAATCTTAAATTTAAGTATTGTAAATAAAAAAATAAATATTAAAAAGTTTTTTTTTATGAAGGTTTCAACATGACCTAACTTTAAATTAATTCAGATTCAATGTAACTATTAGATGTTGAGAGATTAATAAAAAAAATAAATCAAACAAACAATTTAGGTATTAAAATTTCTAAATTATTATTAATGAAATATATAAAAAAATAATTTTATATTAATATTTTAATAAAATTTAAAATTAAACTATATTTTTAATATACAAATTTGATATATAAAATATATTATCTAAAATACAATACAGGCTGAATAATGA